TATCATTTTGGGTACTGTTTGTGTATTAGGCAAAAATAAGAATTACTACTCCACAATATTTTATTATAATGGTGTCGCCCATGACTCCCTTCAGATGGGAAAGAGAGCAACTGAGGGTAAAATTTTACAAAAAATTGCTGTTCATAAGGTGTTTATTAAATCAAATATCTCAAAAACACTGAAAGCATATTAAATAATACTGATATTTTAACGTATTGAAATGTTTCACACAGGGTATAACACATAGCCTGAAATGACGATAATAAGTGCTTCATAAGTGAAAATTTAAGAAATGGACACCATGTGTAATGGCTAGTTACTCCATCTTACATTTCAAGATAAGTACAAGTATTAAATTGTTACCATATTTGACAATAATCATCACTAATATTTGCAAACTCTGTTATTAAAATGTGTTCGAAGTTTGTTGTTTGAAAATAACATCAGTGTAGACTACGTGTGCCACAATGATGGCACAACACGTAACTGGCAATAGCACATTTCTTTTTTATTTGCTTTGGTTTGCTTTACTTTGTACTACTATTTGTTAACACAACCAATCAATAAAATACCATTGCTATTTGAAAAACAATGAATGAAGCTTTATGCATAAAATTGATACAGTCATCAGGGAACTTTCAAAAAGCATTTTCATATTAAAAAGTTGAATTTGTCCAAGTATAATTTAATCCATTTGTATTGTCCCTTTAGTCAGGCAACAAGTAATCCCAGCTATAACCGCAAATTTGTTTACTATAATTGTATACATGAAGCATAGCTCCCATCAACATGGAGTTTCAGCAAACCCGAATTAAAGTTATTTTACTGTTTTGGTTCTGCTTTCCTGTGTGTGAATCATAATAATCCCTCCACAAAATACAGTGCAAAGCCGACTCGTACACATTTTATCTACTTTGTCCTTGGGAAATAAAAGGTCCTTCACTCATCAATGAGTCGATGCGACGGAAAGCTACAATATAACAACGTCAAACTACGGATGAAGATTCCATTCCATAAAAAAATTATTTCGAAAGTTGGAGGTTGCATGAAACTGGAATTTTACCCCTTTGATTTAGGATTCGAAATATATTTCAAAATCGCTGACAGATCACACAGCACTTACCATTCAGTTTTCAAACCTCGATACTTCTCTAATACAAAACTAATCCTATATAGTAAAAGTAGACAGTTACAGAACAAATAAAGCGCTCGTAATACCTTTCAGAATACAACTATCGACAAAATGATATGCAGAGTAGAATTGACGTCGAACTCGAAATCAAACGCACGTGTTACTCTTGTTTACATTGTCGGCGTTTGCTTAAGGCCGGCGTTCGAGCAGGCGGATTCGCGGATTCATGTTGCAAGCAAGTTTTGAATTATTGCGCGGTGTAGTACATATACCACGATGGTTGTTATATCACCATTAAACACACGCAAAAACACACGCGCGAACAAACATACCCGTAAACACACACTCGCATAACTGTTATTCATTACAATGAAGTTACAGGTATAGTGTGGTTTCATATTCCTACATGTGGTAGACATATCAGTAATTCTAGTAAAAATGTCTGATTTTTGTATAATGTGTAAACGAATAGTGGGTAGTTAGGAGGGCTGCTCAAAAAAGAATTATTAATATTAGGAAATCGTCAGTGATACAACGGTGAATAAATATCTGTCATAGCGAAGTTTTATGGTTGGATTTTTTTCCGAAACTTTTTTAATTTGAATCTATATATATATATATATATATATATATATATATATATATATATATATATATATATATATATATATATATATATATATGTATGTATATATTCATATGTACACATATATATACATATAGGTTAGGATCAAAATTCTATTGATTTTATTGAACTTTTTTCAGTGTGTTGGGGATATCCTTATTTGAGTTCACTGGGAACATGTTTATATATCTTTTTATATATAAATAAATAAATAAATAAATATATATATATATATATATATATATATATATATATATATATATATATATATATATATATATAAACCAAGAGGCTGTTTGTAAGTTGATTTGTTTGTATGTCGGAAGTCGGGTCTCCATTAACTTTTTTCCCATTGTTTTAAAGTTTTGTTTACATTATGAATACCTGTAAATCAATCCCAATAAGTACCTTATGCAGTAACAGACTCTTGAACTATATTCGTGCCCGGGAAATTTGAAGTTTGCTAGCATCTTTCAAACAATTTTTTGGACTTTAGTTCTTAAAATTTTTTGTTTGTATGTATGGAATGGTCATAAGTAGAATGTTCTTAGGTAGGGGACTATCTGTATGTTGATTGAAGAAATGTTTTGAGTAGTTACTCAAAAATTTACTAAAGGTCAAAACATTCCCACATTGCACAAAGATCAAGTCTGAGTGTTTATTGTGACAAAGGCCTCAAATACATCACATGTACTGTGAAGATATTCATTCTTATCTTTTCTAAATTTAGTTTCAGACAAGCCACAGTTCTACAGCCACACTACACAAAGGAGAACTGAGAGCAACACCATTTTAAAGACACTCATATTTGCAGGAGCCCTTCTCATACAAGGTCTATCAGTGGATGGCCATTCATGAAGGATTAAACTCAATATAACCAGAACCAAAAATAAGGTCTGACCAAGGAACCATAAGAGCAAGTTTGATTTTGCAAGCACAAGGTCCCGGTTTTCTCACCTTCCGTCTGCTAATCGTACTTCCTCTTCTGGACAGGCCTTAAGAATCAGTTATAATTCAATCCATATAAAAGGTTAAACTATCGGGAAGTCATGTGTAATAGTTGCCCTTATAATTCTCTGAAACAATGAACACCTTCAGATTTCCTTAATTTTGCATTTCAGTTACTCAGGTAAATATTTAAGGGATATCTATAAAAGCACTTTTGATATTCAACACGTTATTCAGTTGTTTAATATTATGTAAATATTTCAGTTTTAGTGAATTTTCAACAAAAATTGCATATCCCAACTATGCCCACATGAAAAATTCTTAGTAGTTCTTATAGAATATATATAAACAATATCACTTTTTCAGTTAGAACACTATTTAATGGATGAAAGATCTTATCTAATGTAATTGTGTATTTCATATAACCAAAAGATTTATTACAAAATACAACTGGAGTAGTCACTGAGACCATTCATCTGGGCTGTATCAAATCCTAAGGCTAACTTCTTAATATGTTACTGAAATAGGTGCATGGGTGAATTGCTGGTACAAATTTGTTGGATAATGTAATATCAAGTCAATTTGAATTTCTCCTTGCTTCATACTATTCCATGCACACAACACCAGGCAAATATTCTGCTTCTTGAGGATGTTTTAGATGAATGACTTTATTTGTATTGTGTTGCAGGTGAAAAGTATTTCAATGTAAAGTATAGTAATAAAACAACAATAATCTCTTGATATTTATTCCACAATCACAATTTCCCAAACAGTAACTAAAAAAAAATATTAATTTTCCTCTCCGTTGTTTTACATTACATAATAAATTAATTCTACACCATATATAAAATAAATGTAGGTTATGATTATAGAATTAAGCAAGACTTTCAAAAGCCAACCAAAATTTAACAGAATATTGGTACTGTAAAACTGGAATGTATAAAAAATTAGAACTTTCAACATTTGTGCAGCATAAATTTAACAGTCTTATAGTCTTTTACTGATGACTACAATAAATTTCATTTTTTACAGTGGTACTGTCTGAAGTTCTACAGTTTCTATTGAGCTTTCTTCACATCTGTCACCTGTAAGATAGCATTTGAAAGCCAGTGAAATTTACAATTGATATTCTGGTTTGTTATTCCACAAGCCATATAGTAAGTCACATAAATTGAAATTCACTTCACTCACTGAATGCTGCACTATCTTGTGGAAAAAATCGCTTGAATAATGTATTGTTTTCATTCCTCTAAAATAATCATGTTTAAATAAATATGCAAGATTATGGCAGAAATCAGTTATACATCATTCAGAGATAAAACAAAAAAAAAGAAGTCGGAGAAGTTTGTTTTTTTGATTTCTTGACAGAAAAGAGTGGTTATCATTAAAGGCATAGTTAGTAATTTTCTGAGAGGGATAAAGAAATGCATAGTACTAAAATAAATTAACTAAAATGCTAGAAATAAATGCCAGTAAGTACAATCTCTCATCAGTTCATCAGAAAAAATAACAAATAAATAAAAAACAAAGGTAAAAACTGCATTACACCATTACACTTAGTGATATTAGCATGGAAAACCCTCTTTGTGAATGCTATCCACTCAGGTATTTCCAAGCATGTTAGGTCACATTTTATATCTATGATTGGTGCAAATTCTACACAATAGAATTTCTGAAATCTGACCACCAAAGTATGCTCTGAGCCACAGAAAGCATGTAGTCCGCCAGACAGCAGAGGCACTAACCCTATTCGCTGTCTGGATAAGAGTCAGCCTACACCAAACCGGGGCTCAGATTCTATGCTCTCCTTGTTGTTCATAGTTCAGAAACTCTACTGGATGTGTGCAATCACAAGACTGAAAACTAGTTAATTACACAAAGGGCTGTATTACTGGTCCATGATAAACATTATGCTTCAATTCTTTCAGCTGGCTAGATGTGAAGCATTTTGGTAAGCCTTGGTTAAGATCTTGCCAATTCAACCAGTGCTTACTTTCAGCTGCTAATATATTAATTGCTTTAACACATATGTCAGGTTTAGACTCAATCAGAATTTATAAAGCTTGAAATTTGTTTCATTCAAACAAGAAATCATTATTTTCCCAAACTCTTTTGATAATACATAAAGAACTTTATGGACAAGCTGTCACTATATTTTCTATCTATTACAACTGAAAATTGTACATATGTAGGTATGCACATGTATATATGCACTTCAAATCTAATTTCTGTTCTTTAGATGTCACTGACACAGCCTTAACAGAGCATTATATACCAAGCTAACAACAATATGTTTTTAACATACCAATTTTGACACCCTGTTATACAACAATAGTAACATTAGTGCTCTACTATGCTCACATAAGTCAACTTGCCATAGATATGTTCAGAAGATCAACTTGCTACAGTAAACACAGTTAAATAATTTACTTTTATATAGCACAAATTAATAAATATATACAAGAGTCTTCCTTCCTTTCTTATATTATGGCAACAAAATATCCATCAACCATGTCTACCTTGTTCCTTTTATATAACTGAATAAAATATAAGAGCATGATTACAAATTATGGTGACCAAATTCTGCCTTTTCTTAATGGCCATTAACTGATACCTTCCAATTCTTTTAATTTCCAAATGGAAATTCCAGTGCAAAAAGTAAGGTTGACTATTCAAGAATATAATTATTATGTCTCCATTTATTTATAAATGATGTGGAATACTTGTAAAAACATCTTATGGCAAAACTATACAGGAGAGACCTTTTCATCTTTCTGTTAATGAAACTAATTCAGTTTACACAAAAAACTGACTCTTGTATTCTGAGGACAACCACTTTGTACAAATGATAATCTGTCTTTTTTTATCCCTAGCTGCCCTATTCTCATTAAACTTTCCTTTTATTTACTAAGCCACTTGTAGTTATATCATCAAATTCAACTTCAGGACAAATTTCATAATACTCAACTACAATGACTCTATTACTATGAAGGTACACTTAGTAATCAAGGTTTTTGTAATATAAATAATCTGCATTAAGTAAGTGAGCAATACTGCTGTTGAAATTTGAAAAAATCTATGCAAACATTCCATTATTTTTTCCAGAATAATCAATCTAAAATTTTATGAATGAATTAAATGTATATGAATAATATTTTTCCTTGGCAAAATTATAAGATATAACAACTTTGTGAAAATCTTTTGATCTCCAAAGCATGTTTATTAATCTTGGGATATCAAGGGCCTAAAAAATATATTTATATTTACTCAGTTTTATTCTTTTAAAATAGAACACTTGTACCTAATTCTCACTTATTCTAATAAAAACAAAATAAACCAAAAATATAATATCTTTCAATGTAACACATTGCAGGAAAGAATTAAGTACCAAATAGTCACAATACCAGTGGAACAGAACATTTCTGAGATCACATTATCCTTTCCCCTTTCAACAGTCGAGACACACATGTGGACGGGTCACAGTATCTGAGGGCCACCAAATTATCCAGTTCTGTGTTAACTAATTTTTATCTTGTCCTTATTTATTTATGATTATTTTTTATTTAATTTTAATTTTTTCTACCTTTTGTCAGAAGGTGATAATGAGCATGATCATTAAGCAAAATCTCAGGGTGAATATTCTCACAGGACATGGCACAGGGATATGTTCATCAAAAAATTCTACCACAATAAAATTTACAACCTTAGCAAGGTCGGCAGTGAGGATCTGTTATTGTTCAGTAAAAAAGGAGGCCCACTAGTGATATGCATTGTTTCGTGACTTCAACCAACCAACTTCCCATCACTCTGTAAACTGATGTTAATATCTGATAAAATCTTGAATTAACAGAAAAAGTATACATACATAAATATTGGTATATGACCACTCACTGGTATTTAGTTCAAAGAATGGAATGATAAGCAGCATTGGTCATTAAGAAGAAACTGCAAAATTTCATCCACCACATTTTGTAGCTAATTCTCACAAAGAGCTAAGATTGCAAATATTCCCATTTTCTTCACATACATTTATCACATCCCACAACCTATAGCAGTGAGGTATCAACATTCAAAGACTGTTGCACTTTTTTGTTAACTTTTTCTGGAAAAATTTAGACAAAAAATATTCACAAATAGATTAACACAGAGTAATGGTAGCATCCAATGCTTTACTTCTTCACAACATAACAGTAAAGCTTGAACTACTAAAATCATGAAATAAAATTATGTTTAGGTGTAAGTCTCTGTACAAACAGACATATTTGACACCTTCACATGGTAACATAACCTAATCCTACTATCAATGTTGCATGGATCAAATCACCAAAAATAGAGATAAAAGTGTCTTCATTTACTGAGTCATCCAAAAAAATAGTGTTATATCAAACTTAAAAACATTTCCAAGATATCCAGATGAACAAGAATATACAGAGTGTAATTCCATCTTGTCACTTCCTACACCTTTCCCTCCTTTGGTCTGTGTTGAAACAAGGTTTCCACAATGGAAGGATCAGCTAAAGTGGAGATGTCTCCGAAGTCGCGGTCTCCCACAGCAATTTTCCTAAGAACACGACGCATGATCTTTCCTGATCGTGTTTTGGGCAGTCCAGGGGCTAGCTGGATAAAATCTGGTGTAGCAAAAGGACCAATTCTGCCACGGACTGTAAAAATGGGAGGGCCACATACAAAAATTAGTTTAACTCTACAAATACAAAACTAGAAACTCTAATAAAATTCATTCTGCTTCTTGTGACTATTATCAACTTGTTTTGCTATAGATTTCAAACTCTTTCAGAATCACTAAAATAGTATATGCAGGACCAGATTATCCTATAGGCTAGTATAGGCTGCAGCCTAGGGCCCCTCAAGCTTGGGGGCCCCAAGCTTGAGGGGCTTGGTTATAAAAAAAATCTGTTTTTTTCACTACGGTTGTGTTGAATATAGTAAAATAATAGTATTTAAAGAATACTTTTATTGACAAACAAAAGATAGCTATGCTAGTTTATTTAAAGAATTTGCAATAAGTTTACTTCAAGCTATGTAAATGTCGCTAAAATATATCACAAGTAAAAAATATCCTGAGGGGGCCCCATAATTTCATTAGCCTAGGGGCCCCAGAAGGTCATAATCCGGCCCTGAGTATATGCTTCAACATCAATATTTTGTACAAAATCTTACCTTTGTTTTTGAGTTCTGCTGTAAGCTTATCTGAGAATTCACTGCCTTCAGCCAGAGTTACGAAGCAGTAGAGACACTCTCCTTTTACAGCATGTGGTCTTGCCACCACAGCTGACTCAGCTACACTTGGGTGTTCTACCATGGCACTTTCAACCTACAAAATGAGAAAATAAATACATAAAGTGAGAAAAAAAGTAATGTGAAATAAGAAAAGATAGAAAATAAACAACTGGAACTATGAGATAATGAAGATGGCATATAAAATATTTGCTAGTGTATAAGAGGAATTCTTTTTCAACTTGCAAACTTCTTAACCCAAAGGCTTTCACCCACTCAATACAGAGCAAAGCAACTGATCACAGTCAGCCACTTGAGTGAAAAATCAGAACAGGAAACATGTTTTTCACTGTCTATGCTTTTGGCTGCACCACATATGATATGTCAGCAAATGAGGCCAAACAGGGACTAAGCCTACTTTGCACTGATCAACACTTGCACTTGCAATGAATACTTGCCATCCAGTATCTAGTGTGTCATAACAATAATAGATACCATTTGACAAACGTGTTATGTATTACTTTGGATTTTTTAGGTAAATTTCATTATCATTAAATACAAAATAATACCAATAATATTCTCTGCCTGGCAGAGGAAAGGCTTATATATTCCAAGCTTCATTTGTATGACAATAAGTAGTCATTGTCAACAACACTGCTATATGTTCGACATCACCATTTGAAATAGCTTTGTATGCCTGTATTTGTAATATTAAGTAAAAAAAAACTGAATATCTGTGTTTGGTTGGCTAAACTTAACCACAACTCAACCCACTTTATGTGTTATGCATTTAGTGCTAAGCTACCACTTCTGTTTTGTTGGTTGCTGAATATTAGATAGAGAGTAATTCTAGTATATTTTTTTTCTTGGAAAAAGTGCAAGCAATTACAAGAAGAAATCGCTTGATGCTGGGAAAGAGGAACTAAGTTACTAACCTGTGCAGTAGACAGAAGATGGCCAGATACATTCAGCATGTCATCAATACGGCCAGTGACCCAGATATAGCCATCCTTGTCTCGTCTGGCACCTGATGGGGGAGGGAGAGGGATGGAGATATAATTTATATACATGAAGTATGAACAATTTCTCCTTCACCTGTAAGTGCAAGCACTGAAATTTTAAAATAATGAACAATTACACCTAAATAATAATCACCTTATCAGCCAAAAATATTTCACAACTTTATGACTCCACATACCATCTCCAGTGCAATAGAAGCCAGGGAACTTTTTGAAGTAGGTGGTTTCAAAGCGCTCATGATTTCCATAGACTGTGCGCATGATGCCTGGCCAGGGTTTTCGGAAAACGAGGTAGCCTTCTCCCTCCCCTTTGATTTCAGCACCTTCCTCATCCAGGAGGGCAACATCAACACCAAAGAATGGGAAACACTGTACAGGAAATATTTGAAAAATAGTACCTATAATAATAATGATAATAATAATAATAATAATAATAATAATAATAATAATAATAATAATAATAATAATAATAACAATAATAATAATAATGATGATAACAACAATAACAATGCTGACTATAAAAGAACATATTAATGAAAATAATAACAAAACAACATAACATGCATCACTATTTTTAGCTTTGTACAAATATAAATAATACTATCAGTGTCCATGAGTGTGTAAAGCAGATATGAAACCAAATCTAATAAGTCAAGGAAAACTTGGAAAAAAAACAACTTACTTATAAAGGACAGTTGTTACATGATCAACATATTTTAAATCAAACCGATACCCAAAAACTGTAGCACAAAGTATAACAATACAGATATTTAGACCAAAATAGCAATAATTTACAATATGCGCTCCCCGCAGCTTGCTTACCGCAGAACCAGGCTTGCAGGGTGTGGCTCCAGGGAGAGGTGTAACGACATGACCACCTGTCTCCGTCTGCCAGAAGGTGTCCACAATTGACACATTGCTGTCTCCTACTACCTTATAGTACCACAGCCAGGCTTCTGGGTTGATGGGTTCACCAACACTCCCCAAGACAGAAAGGCTTGACAAGTCATACCTATCATGGAAAGAAAGAAAAACAAAGGATATGAATGAGATTGAAAAAAATTAAAGAATGAACATAGTGAACACTAGAGAAGCAAATAAGCATAATTCCCTATATTCATACTTTCTTCTTTCCAGAAAAAATGTAGGGTACATTTTTCAATATTATATCGCGCTAAATAAACATATAAAAATAAAATTAATCATGAATATTTCATCTTACTTTCACATTTGCGATACAAAAAATCAGTCCAAATAAATCAAAGATTTAAATATAACAGCAGGAGACATACTTCCTGTCTCACATTATTATTTTCAATCACTTGAATTTTTATTGCTTTTCCCAATTTTTTCCCCATATCTTCTTTTTATCATGTAAACATTAACTTACTTCTTAACAGGATCATCTCCAAATTTCATAAGTGTTCTGATAGCTGTCGGTGCTGTATAAAACTTGCTAACTTTGTACTTCTCAATTATCTCCCAAAATCGCCCTGTGTGTGGGTAAGTTGGCACTCCTTCAAACTGTGAAGAAAAAATACATTTATATCATCTAAGCTTAAATGTGAAAAAAATCAAAACCTGCAATACCCACAAAGTATGAACAATGCACAATGTAAAAACTTTCAACAAAATACATATAAAAGTCTTGATTCTTACAGAAACAGTGCTTAAAAAACAACAGCATCTCTGCAACACTCACCAATACTGAAGTTGCATTGTTTAGCAGGGGTCCATACGTTACATACGAGTGCCCTGTGATCCAGCCAATGTCGGCAGTGCAGAAGTAAACGTCGTTGGGTTGATAGTCGAAAGTGTATTTGAAGGTGGTTGCACTGTACAGCATATAGCCTCCAATAGTATGTAAGACACCCTTTGGCTTTCCTGTACTGCCACTGTTCAAAGAAATTTAAGATTCATAAGAACTCCGTTTACAAATATCATTTAGTATTTATCTTGTATATACAAACTGCATAAAATTAAAAAGACTAAAGCCTTATACTTTATCCCTCGAAAGAACAAGAAAAAAAAATAAGTAGATAAATAAAAAATAAGTTTATCGCATCAAAATACAATGGCAATTCCACTTTTATTTCAAGTTAAAAGCTATTAAACCAAAATGAAAACAATCATAGAATAATTACATAAATCACAAACAAGAAATAACAAACATCCACCCCAAAAAGTGTTCATGAAAATTATGCAAATCTACAGACAAATCAGCTCATACAGAGACTATTATAATTCACTTCTCTGTGCACTCCTCCCTAAGGAACCACCTCCATTAATACCCAGTATATCTATCTTACCTGGTGTACAGCATGAAGAGGGGGTCCTCTGTATCCATCCACATAGGTGGGCATTCTGTACTCATGTAGGTCAGGGCATCATGCCACCACACGTCCACCTCTGGATTCCACGTCACCTAAAATCAGAGGCTCTTATAAGTCATCACAAAAAAATAAAGTAACTAATCTATTCAACTGCTACATGTGTTATTCATTACTGCTACTGATTGCAATTATCATTACCTAGATTTGAGAATGTACAAATGCACAAATTTTTATTTGTGACTTGATCAAATTATGTTCTTCTTAAGCAAATTATCAATTTGATTCATTCTGAAGAAAACATGGATAAAATATATACATTCCTTTAAGAACCAGAGGAAACCATCCCAAAATAAAAAAGTGCAGACATACACAACAAATGCATGTATAGTATCTACAAGAAATGTAAGCTCAGAATCCAAGTGTTGTACCTTACTGTAATAAAAGTGTGCATAATAATTATAACTAATATACATAACCTGCAAAGACACCAGTTACAGTTCCCTTACATACAAAAAAAGAGTTACAGAAGGTAAAGTGAATTTACTTTGATAATGTGTGGAATTTTGGCTTATCACCGTTAGACCTTAAACCACATAAAAAACAATTACCCCTAAGGATATGCAGTGCAGCACTGAAGGTAATGTGCAAGAAGTTCAACAAAGGAAGGCTACACATAGTACACAAACACACACATATGTACATATAATCAGACAGACAAACAAAAACAAATTAAACTTACCCAAACAAAGTTACAAGAAATCTCACACATCCAAACACTCTCACACACATAAACACACACACAAGGACACAAGCCAAGAAACGAATGCACATTTGGTCTACTGGTAAGGAATATACCACTACCTTATAGTTGCCCTGCCGATTCCGAGGCCAATGCAGGGACATTGATTGATATCGATGGTGTATCGGAGACGGAGCAGCAGGAGAAGGGAGCATTAAGGAATATGGAGAGGAGACATGACTGACTGTAGCAGTACAAAAAAAATTACAAACCACACACGTCATACCACACAGCTGGCTTGCAATGCTAAATCAGAATACCTACATCAGTGAGAGAGTGAGAAGTGGTGGTTGAGAGGATGTATGGTATATGTGATCTATTCTTGACAACCACCACTGCACATGCAATACTCACAAATTTTAGTACTAAGAAAACTAAGCAAACATGATCTAGTAATCTGACAATGATTAAATATAAACTCATGGGATGCACACTGATAATATAGTATATATATCCCATTATTCCAAAATCTCAGAGAATGATGTATTATGAAGTCTTCATCATGAAATATATATCATACAATGCTATACCCATTTTCAGTCACAAAGTAAGTGTATGCACAAAACAGAATTTATCATATTAAGTGTATTTCAGAAATGTCTCATATGTGGCAATACATTTTGCATATATTCATTTGGCTACAAAAAGGATATCATTCACATATGGTGATTAAGCCTTTATTGTAGGTTTTATATCTTGCCGTATCTAAGCATTTATATGTATATATATATATATATATATATATATATATATATATATATATATATATATATATATATATATATATATATATATATATATATATATATTTATATATATTTTTTTACTTCAGCACCCTTGTATTTTGCAGTGACGGTATCCTTTTTGCAATGATTAAAACAAGGGGAAATTTATTTTTCATTTTCACACAAGTATAATAGCACAATTCAATCTGCTATTATCATCACAAGCCTAGCTATTCTTGATTACTGAATAAAAGAGATTGTCCATTCTGCTATAAGCAACATGCCTGCTAGCATGCACAATTAACTTCTGTAGATCTCTGTTCCAACGAGAGTTCTCATGTATCACAATATAGATAAAGAATATAATATCACAAGAGTCTATGAAGTTTAATTAAGAAACTTTTGATACATGTAGGATCTGTAGATTGTGCATCAAGTGTCCACTAAAAATCATGAAAGTGCATTTTAACAGAACTTTAAAGTGAATCAGTGACAATATTGAAATAATTTTTCAACTAAACATGAAAAAATCAGGTTACCAGAATAGACACACCTAAATCTCTCTTCTATATTTATGATGCAGGGTTTATGTCATTAAACTTGGAGCAAAATTGTGCATTGTTATAGCATATCTTGTACATATCATGTATGCTTATATATCTATATTAGTCTGGATTTCTAGTTCACAAGCAGATGCTATCAAAACAGGGGGAGAGCGAGTAAATGTCAAAAAGGGTAAGGGTAAGGGTAAGGGTAAGGGTAGGGGTAGGGGTAGGGGTAAGGGTAAGGGTAAGAGTAAGGGTAAGAGTAAGGGTAAGAGTAAGGGTAAAAGCAAGGGTAAGGGTACACATAAATATAAACAAGTAAATGTGTATGCTTGGGTCAGGTCTCTTTTATTTTAACAAAATAGTCATATGAGTGAGAGGAGTGAAAGTGAGAAGGTGGGAGAGGGAGAGGGAGAGGGAGAGGGAGAGAGAGAGGGAGAGGGAGAGGGAGAGGGAGAGGGAGAGGGAGAGGGAGAGGGAGAGGGAGAGGGAGAGGGAGAGGGAGAGGGAGAGGGAGAGGGAGAGGGAGAGGGAGAGGGAGAGGGAGAGGGAGAGGGAGAGGGAGAGGGAGAGGGAGAGGGAGAGGGAGAGGGAGAGGGAGAGGGAGAGGGAGAGGGAGAGGGAGAGAGAGAGAGAGTGTGTGTAAAAATGAAACAGTTGATGATAATCTTTAGCTTTTCAATAAACATTCTGTTCAGGGCTGATGGTGTAGAATAACAAATGGATATGAACGTGCAATACTGTACAATACCAACAATAAAAGATATAGGTATGCATTGTCATACTATAGATGGAGATACTTTAGACAAAAGATGTGTATTCATCACATTTTTTTTTTTTAGGTATTTAAGAAATACAGATGTTAGGCAATTTTTTCATTTAGAAGTTAACTTCAGACACTATGAGGAATTAAAAAAAATAATAATAGTCCTAAAAAATGGATATAATTTTTGTTGTGAGACCAAACAAATTAGTGACAATTAATTATTTAGGAAAAGATGCATCGTATATTAATTGCTGTTTTTTGAAGTCTATGTATAGAGCATTAGCATGTATTTGTGAAGAGGTCACCAACAGAATGCAAATGGTTAAAATCTGATTTGTGATGGTAAGTTTCAAGTCCCTCCACTCCAAAAGAAAGTGAAAAAAACAATCATCATATTATGACTTTGGTTATGATTAATAAAATGAACTGTACATACACAACATCAGTACAAGCTTCTCCTATTGCCAATTGCTAACCCTTTAAAACATTAAAGTCTCTGAGATATGTGAAACATCAAGAGAAAAATGTTACCTGAACATCTAATGGAAAAACATGTGATTCATGAAATGCTTCCAAAAAGGAAAAACATATGCCATAATTTATGAAAGGTATCAACCCAAAATAAAGATGTTCTCATTCTTAATGTCCAAAGTTATCTAAGAGTAAAGACAATGCTAACAAAAGTCAAATCAAAGTTGTTCCCACATCCAAAAGAAAATTAGGGACATTTTCAATAAGCCACAAGATAATGTGGTAGAGTAGGCAGTTCATTTCTGCCCACGGCTCATATAAACTGCAAGGGGTGACCAGGTGAGAACTCAGGGCCCTGCAATTGGTAGAACCGGTGTTCTACCACTGAGCTATCCCACCTCC